AGGTGGAGGTGGCCAGCAGTGTGGTGCAGGACAGGGCCCGGCCTTGGGTCCAGTGGATGCCTGTCAGGTCACTAACTGATTGTATCACCTCAGACAAGTGACCTTACCTAGAGTTCATGTGACAGAGCCATGCCTAGCACAGGGACCGGCCAAGGTCAGAGCTCCTAAGTACGGGCTGTTGCAGTGAACGATGCTGCAATCTGCAGGGGTGAGTGTTGTCAGGGTGCTGGTGGGAGGCACAGCTGTGCAGGGGCCACTGAGAACCATGAACACCTTCCAAGATTCTCAGCTCTGTTCCGGGCCAGCCAGCAGGGCCCCAGATTGGACATGTGATACAGAGCCGCGCTCCCCTCCTGCCCCCCACACGGAAGAGGAGGGGTCCTTTTCAGAGCCTCTGATCTGGAGACCTTGGCCACTCACCAACACCTCCCTGTTCTCAGGGCATGCGGCACACACAGTGGCCTGCTGGGGTCTCGCCCAATACACCTGAATGACCACGCTACCCCATTGGCACTTGGATGCATTCCATCAGTGGTGGCTTCGGGGGAAGTCAAAGCTGCCAGACGCTGCCCTCTCCCCACCATTCTCCTTTACTTAGGAAAGAGATGGGGCTAGCTGCTTCTCTATGAAGACAATACAGGGGCGAGGGTGGGCACAAGGGTTCCTTCAAGCAGCATTTGGGGGGCATTCTGAAGGGATGACATGCACGGAGCCATTTACTAACCATTCACCTGCAGGACGTGGGTCTGGAAGAGCTCCTCGTGGCCCAAGGCGTGGCAGGTATAATTGCCCATGTGGACGGTGGTCACCTTGGTGATGTATAGGGAGTCGTCCTCTCCGAAGTCCTGCATGGGATGGAGAACACAGTGAGACCGACTCCCAGCTCACAACTGAGTGGGCTGCAGGGGCAGCCTGGTCCCCACGGCTGGGAGAACGCTCCTTCCGTGCACCCCCTTGCTGTGGGCAGCTGGGCCGCGGAGGGGCACCATCTCTGCTCCACTCTGCCTGCCCAGCTCCTCTTTGCCACTTAAAGCTGTGTTCCCATGACACCTCCTCCATGAAGCCCTCGGGCACATACACCCCCCTTCATTTCAGCTACCTTCCTCACCTGGCTGCCTGCCTGTGTCCTCAGGTCCTGGCACCTGGCCAGAAGCTATTTCAGGAGGATAGGCCTTGTTTAGGTCTGGGGCTGGCAAACTTTTCCTTACAGGGCCAGATAAATATCGCCACCTTTGGGGGTCATAAGCTTTCTGTCAATGACTCGATGTTGCTACTATCGGGTGCAAACAGCCGTAGACCAGTTGGGAGTAGCTGTGTTCCAATGACAGTAAAACAAACAAACAAGAAACAAAGGTGGAGGGCTGAGATGGGACACACCAGCTGATAGTTTGCTGCTTCCGGCCTGAAATCATACCTGGATCCCAACATGGTTTCAAGCAGCTCTGAGAGCTCTTAGGCTACCC